TTATTTTGCTTTAATTGATTCAATTCAATTAAATGGCATAAAACTTAATTTATATACCATGGGCACAAAGTGTAATTTTAAATTATTTTGGGAAGGCCTCAAACAATTCAAAATTAACTTGAGAATAAACATTTATGTCAAGTCTTTGGTTTTATGGTTAATTCATAAATAGACCAAATTTTAATTCCATTAAATATTATAACCCTTTAGAATAAAACCAATGCACTTTTGCCCCCATCATTGAATCCAATTCAATAATAATATTTAATAAATTCTTATTACTCTTGGTTAGTACTAGCTATTCATGGATAATCATTTCTCACCAATACATTAATTCGAATGCAACCGTTTACTTCCGAACATCATTAATCTGATTAATGATATGTATTACTCTCTCTCTCATTGAGCTTGGTTTTATGTGTGACCATTTTGGTTCACTGTGATCTAGCCATGGGCCCAATATCAGATTTTGATATGTTTCATTATAATTCTTTATTATCGAAACTCCCACTGATTATGGTAGACGTCTAGCAATGTTTCATAACCCCTAAACCACAATAAAGTGTAAACTCTAATGAACCTATTCTGATCGTACGTACCGTGTAGTCAAATCCCTCCGTTATCTAATCACAATTAAGAATGGTTCATGGTATGTCAAAACCTTTAACTTAATCTTTAATCGAATTGTCAATCGATACAATGGAACTCGTCAACATGAAACTACTTTTCATCTGACATTTATTATACTCTGGCCAGAGATTTCCCTTTTCCAATGGTTATTGACATTCGTCTAGGAACTCTATATTAGACTATTTTGAGTTAACGGATCTCATCTTGACCATCACAAGTCCTCGCACATGAATAACATATGACCAAACTGGCTTATTACACAAGACATGACTAGTCTGGTGCTTATACACCATATGAACCATATGCAGCTTATGTTGAATCCAACCGTGATGTCTCAGGTCTAAGGATTAATTGTACACTAGCACGATCCTACGATGCATCATTGACCATATACATGTGATTCATCGTAATCGGTTGTATTCGATAAACAGTTCACTAACCATTTATCCATGCTAATGCCTTAGTGACATACCTTTTATAATCACCCACACTAATATCATCACATGATATTTAATGGAGACATTCAGCATGCCTACTATGCAATGTTATTGTCCAATTAACATTACTTGCATAGGGAATTCTTTGATGATTTGATTTTCTGAAGATCCGTGTCATCCGGACGTTTCACATGCAATATTAAATATAATATGATATAAATGAAGCAGAAAATCAACATGTGAAAGAAGAACACTTTCTTTTATTCATAATACATTTACAAGATATAATGTCCTGAAACCGACAACACGATTGGTTCCTAGGACATACACTAACACCTCCGTCGCTTAAGCGACCAAGGCCAATTTTCTTTACACTTGACTATTCCTTCTCAAATTCAAGATCGCTTAAGCGATGTCAGTTCTCGCTTAAACGATCCTGTACAGATAAGTCGTGATCGTTTAAGTGATAGCCGACGTCGCTTAAGCGACCAAGGCCAATTTTCTTCTTACTTGACTATCCCTTCTCAAATTCAAGATCGCTTAAGCGATGTCAGCTCTCGCTTAAGCAATCCTGTATAGATAAGTGGTGATCGCTTAAGCGATAGCCAACGTCTCTTAAGCGACCAAGGCTAATTTTATTTTTACTTGACATTTCTTTCTCAAATTCATGAAAATTAGCTTAAGCGATGTCATCACTCGCTTAAGCAATCCTATATTGATAACATCTCAATATTGAATGAATTTATTTACACAATAAAATTAGCCAACGTCGCTTAAGCGACTAAGGCTAATTTTATTTGTACTTGACATTTCCTTCTCAAATTCAAGAAAATTAGCTTAAGCAATGTCATCCTCGCTTAAGCAATCCTATATTGATAACATCTCAATATTGAATGAATTTATATGCACAATAACATCTCAATGTTGAATGAATTTATATGCACAATAACATCTCAATATTGAATTAATTTAGTAGCATAATAACAACTCAATATTGAATGAATTTAGTAGCACAATAAGAGCAACAATTAAGTAACTAGAAGCATCCTTACTATCATCTATTCAAAACTTCAAACAAAAAGATATCCAATTGTCAACATAAAAAAATTGAAAACAACAAAGCATTCATAACAAGTCCATGAGACGAAAAAGGTAATCTCATAAAGTACTCATCAAAACCATTAAAATTGTTTTATGATTCACTAATAAGTCTTCAACAATTGGCCTTGGCAATTCTCTCGATTTCATCCTTCTTCTTGATGACATGGCTAGAAATACAAGGATATAAAATCAGTTTAATGCACCACAAAAGATTGACATACAACCAAGAGAAACTAGTGAACAAGTAAACGGAATAACATCTAGCCACTCACAAAAATATTCAACACCCAAAACAACTTATCCCATGTCTAATAATAGTCAAGTGCCTATAATGCAAGAAAAAAAAATTATTAACCGATATATTAAGGGTTGACAAATTTTAAAAAACATCTGCAAAGTCATTTAAGCGATCTGGTGTATCGCTTATTGGATCGCTTAAGCGATCTAGTATATCACTTAAGCAATTTGGTATAAATAAGCCTGATCGCTTAAGCGATCTACTGCCATATACCAGACTTATACCAGATCGCTTAAACGATCTGCTGCTATATACCAGACTTATACCAAATCGCTTAAGCGATCCATTAGCTCTAGAATACATTTTCAGCCATCTTCACCTATAATCGGTGTTACCACCCCCAGCTACCCACAATGCAAGAAAATCATCAACAAATCTCACTCTTTCAACTTGCATTACATCAAACACAACCCAAGAACCTAAACCACTAAATCCAAATCATAACCTAAACCCAATCCATCATTAAAGCTTTGTAAATAGAAATATAAAATGCAAAGAGGAGATACACATACCTGTCTCACTCTTTCAACTTGCATTACATCAAACACAACCCAAGAACCTAAACCACTAAATCAAAATCATAACCTAAACCCAATCCATCATTAAATCTTTGTAAATAGAAATACAAAATGCAAAGAGGAGATACACATACCTGGACATACCTGGACAAAATGTTAGGAGGAGGAAGAGGTGGATCTTTGGTGGAGAAGATGTTAATGGCAGAGGAAGAAGAATGTGTTAATGGCAGAGGAAAAAGAAAGTGTTAATGGTTGAGGAAGAAGAAGATGTAGACGAAGCTTAGAAGAAACAACAACCAGGGGAGAGATGCGTTAATGGCGGGAGGAAGAAGAATAAGGTGTTTGGGTTTGTTTGCAAGAATTTCGGCTCTTTGGGGACATATTATAATTTTTTAAAGATTACACAATACTTCATTAAGCCTAATTATTAATTAACCACTAATCATGTTTAATTAACCTTAATCAATAATAAGGGGTGCGTTTGGTTTATTATTTTGGATATGATTTTGGGGATAGTATTGGGTTGTTGGATAAGGGAGTATTACGAGATAAATTTTAAGACTTTATGAAAAAGCCCTTAGGTTTACTAATTTAATTAAAAACCCTAATATGTAAAATGACAAAAACACCCTTGGAATTTTTCGTGCCAGATTCCGGCAACCACAGCCGGAATCTAGCCGAAAAATTTCGTTACGGCACAGATCGGTCAGATCTATGCCGTAACACGTCGTTATGGCCTTTTCCGGCCAGATCTACCACAGATCTAGCCGAAAAATACCAGATCTACGGTCTGTTATGGCCGTCGACGGTAAAAAAAGGCCAAACGATGGCCATCTACGGCCAAAGATGTGGCCTTCGTTGACCGTCAACGACGGCCATTTCTTTGGCCATCGCTGACGGCTAGATCGGTGAATTTCCGGCCATTTCTGGTCGGAAGTTAGGCCGTTGTACAGATTCCGGCTATCACCGACGGTGGTTGCCATTGTACAGATTCTGGCTATCACCAATGGTGGTTGCCGGAATTTGACAAGTTGGGTTGATGGGGGTGTTTTTGTTAATTTTTAAATTTTTTCAGGGGGTATTTAGTAAAATTAATAACCTTATGGGGTCTAAAAGTAATTAAAAAAATAAGGTAATATTTCTGAAATAATGTGCCATACATTATTTGGAGAATAGAATCTAGAATATGGATAAAAATACTAAGTCAAACATAGCCATGACTATTTACTTAACACTTTCAAACTACATGACCTTTTAATTAAATTTGAACTTGATTTGACCTTTTAATAAAATGCCTCGTTGTACATGGCTTTGACCTATAGTCTTAGGTTTGATTTTCTGTTGCGTACAAAAGTAAGACATTTGTTCACGATTTACTTAGAGAGTTCTACCTAAACCCATAAAAGACCCATGGCCCAACCCAATTATTTGAATTATTGGGATGGGTTCCTATCAATGGCCCTCTATTATTATCTCATAAACCCTAATTTTTTTTTATCCTATTCAAATCATTATTTAAATAAAAAGATAATTTAATGTAGGAAGAAGATTTGTAACAAGATATATCAAGTTACAAACAATACAAAAGTTATAAGTTTTTAATTGCTTCATATATATATATATATATATTGTGTTGTTTAACTAACATTACATTATTGGGATTATTTGCAAGATACAACATAAATGAATGGAATGAAATTTTAACTATTTTAAACTGTACAAAAAATGAAATGAAGTGAATAAGAAAAAAAAATTAATTTTAAAACTTTGAAATAGGGTGTACTAAGAAATGAGACTTCTTTACTCTATTAGTCGGGTGTCGATAGCTCAACTCTTCATTATATTTAAGAAAATTATAAACCCATATTTAGAATATTGGGTTTTAGTTCTTCTTTAAATAAAATAAAATAAAATAAAATACTGTCAAGATCATTTGCGAAAATTTTAAATTAATTAATTTTTTTTAATATTTGCCCCTTCTTAAACAAATTTCTGACTCCGCCACTGTAAAACTTGTAAATGAAAGAGAACTGGTACTTCGTAAGCATAATCAAATATCTCAAATTTAATACATTATGTTTCAAATGGCATTATTAATAAATAATTTTTTAACACATTTCAACATCTGAAGAAACAAAAGGCTTCGGAGGCATCTCTAACCTTTGTGAGTCACCTTCAAGCATTTGTATAACCACTGGCATTGAAGGCCTCTCTGTTGGATTCCATTGAATGCACCAAAGTGCAACAATTGCAAGCTTCTTGGCAATTTCCTCGTCTCCATCTACCTCAATTTCTAGATAAAGCTCCTTTCCTTGGCTCATTTTGTTGTACATCCACTCAGGAATGTAAATTTGGCTTTCATTCTCAATTGTAATATCCATATTCTCTTGGCATCCAACCATCTCTAATAACATCATTCCATAGCTATACACATCAGACTTATAAGATACCACTCCAAAGTATCTGGAGAAGAGCTCTAGAGCAATATAGCCAGTAGTTCCTCGAGTAACTGTCAATGATACGATGCTTTATTCTTTTGAGCATAGCTTGGCAAGCCTAAAATCTGAAATCTTTGGTTGAAAATTATGTTTTAGTAATATATTGTGTGGCTTGATATCAAAAAGAAGGATCCTTTGGTTACATCCTTGATGCAAGTACTCTATTCCACGTGCAACACCAATTGCAATGTTTAGTAGCTTCTCCCAACTCCATGGACGATGATTTGAGTTGTTTATCTTTGAGAAAATGAGCTTCTCAAGAGATCCGTTGGGCATAAACTCATATATAAGAGTGAGTCAATTGCATAGTTGCATACCTACCTGCATGCACAAACCCTGCAAAGGAAAACATACAGTCAGTCAGTATGATATTCTGTAGCCATTTTTTTACTAAAGCCTTATACGAGGGAGAGGAAAACAACCCTTACGTGCAATAAACTAGATCAGCCAACAAATTCAAAATCTGAGAAGCCTCCCGAAGTTCATCACTTCCAACAATGCATGCAACCATGGAAAATATGCATGCAACTTGTTGAAGGCATAACATAAACCCCTGTTTATCAACAAATAAACATGATTAACAAATGGTAAATAAGTGCATACATAATTACAGATGAGAGATATTTACAGCAGTACAATAATAAAATTATCACAGCGAGTTGTCTGGATGTTGAATTCATCCTGCAACAGAAAGCGAGTAGCGGCCACTGAATTTCCAAAGCAACAGAAACCCAGGAAATTAGCAGAAATTAAATGTAATTAATGATTGAAATAAAAGCGTTTACAATTGCCACGTCAGTTTATAACGAATTAATTTCACATCAAAGCATGTTAAGTTCATCATTTCATTGAATAGTGACGACTTAGGAGAAGGCATTCTATGAATACTGAACAAAAAAAACCCATGTTCTCCTTTTTGAAATAGAAGCTATAAGAAAAAAATGTAGGCATATCTTGTAGCCACAAATTCCATAGTTGTGTTTTAACCAAGAAGCTGAGAACATAGACCATGAAAAACAAAGCAACGGCACTGACAAACAAAACCCATACCTCAGTGCCAAGGCAAAGTTCACTACAAGAACTTTCATAACACTTGCCGCTGCAGGGCATATAACCAGCACAACAGACATACCTATGAAAAACAAGATGAAACTACAATTACACCAAAATATTACATATTAAAACAGCTCAGATCAGAGTTAAACAGAATCAGAAGTACCTGGACATGTCATTGTAAAGTGCTCGGGTTTAGGGTTTAGGGTTTAGGGTTTAGGGAGTTTCCGAAGTATGTAAGATACACATGGGGGACTACAATAAACAAAGGCGAACCAGATGCATTGCATTGCGATGCAAAGGAGCAAACATTTTATAATTAAATATCTCATAAATTAAAAAAGTAATCAAAACCAGATCAGCAAAAATCAGAAAATAAAAAATTATTGCAGAATGGTCTAATTCATTCCCCAGGAAAGAGAGGTAAAGATTAAAGTGAAAAACGGAAACTCAAGAAAGAATTAAGAGCAGTTAATTTAACAGTATGTCAAGACAAATACAATTGCAACGTTCAGTATGGAATATATTAACAAGTTGTACTAAACAGAGTAGAGCAATCTAGCTAAACCTAACAGTAATGTATAATATTTCAAACAAAAATGCTAATAATGATTTCACAACATCTCTAGAGCGATGAGAAAAGTGAATTACTTGTCAAATCAACTGCCACACGAGTGAGATAGAAAAATTGAGATCCTAACTTTATAAGCATTACCCTGTTTCAAGTACTGCAACATTTTTTATAAGAAACAAAATGGACATGATATATAATTAACTATAAAGTTTCAAGTAAAGAATAGGTTAAAGAAATTTAACCTAAATTAGCGAATTTAATAACCACAAATTAAAATTTTATCAAACAAAATAAACCCTAGACTGATAATTAACAGATCCGTAACCGCAATTAATAAGAATAAAAAATGAAGATTTAAAATTCTCACCAGAAAACCGCAAAGCAGCAATCTGCACGTTAACACAAGCACCAAATAATATATTAGGGGAAAAAAAATTACCCTAAACGTTATAAAACAGAAACACGGACATTAAAAAAAATAAAAAAACATACAAGGAGTGTCTTTTTTAATGGAACCCAAGAGGTCACTGTGCCACATGTTCTGGTAGCTTTGACGGAGCTGCATCTTCTCCATAGCAGCGTCGGACGCCTTCTTCACCGTCTGATCTGGCGAGCTTCAAACTCGGGCACACTAACACTTCGGTTGATTTTGATTAGATTGAAGATCCGGTGTGCGATTTGAGTTTTGAAATTTAAAAAAAAAAAAATCAGAAAGTGGGTCTCCTCGTCTGTCCAGACGTGAGTCCCTTGATTTAAAAACAGTTGGTTCTGGATTTTTTGAAAATTGCTGTAAAATGAGGTGATTTAGACCACCTCTAACACCATTAGATATATCGGCGGACTTTGATCACTATAGTGTTACAAGTGTTGTTTCACTCATAGGCTAGAACACACCTGTTGGTGGCAACTCTTTTTTTTTTTTTTTTTTTTGGGAAATTATTTAAATTGTAAAAATAAATTCAAAAATATTCTTCTAAAACATATGAAAAACTACGTATGAAAGCATCAAAATTCCTTTATAGAGGTATTTGATTATTACTATTTAATACTAAATCTGGTTAATGGGTTCTCTGTAAAGGATTGTTTATCCTAGTTGTTTTTGTTTTCTTTTTGTTACCGATCCCCTTGGCTGCCTTTGGTTTAAAATTGGGGGGTTTTGGGAAAAGTTTTTTGAAAAAAGTTAAAAAAAAATTGAATTGGGCGGGTATTACGAGGTAAAATTTATAAATTAATAAAATCTCCTTTATGTTTGTTTTTTTACAAAATACCCCCTATAATAAAACATTAAAAGTTAACAAAAATACCCCTAACCCACCCTCAAACACCCCCAGCCGGTGACCACCACCGGAGGTGGCCAGAGTCGCCGTATGGGCGCATGACCGGTTGGATCTTGCCGGTCATGCGTCGCTATGGCCTTTTCCGGCCAGATCCACGGTGGATCTGGCCGGAAAAGGGCCAGATCGGCGTATTTACTCTCAATGACAGCCAACAAAACGGTCGTCGTTGATGGTCAACGACGACCGTTTGTTGGCCGTCGTGACCGAATGTTCGGCCAAAGCTGGCCGTCAACGGCCAGATCTTTGGCCTTAGATCTGGCCTTTTCCGGCCAGATCCACCGTGCCGGCTAGATTCAGCCGGTAGTGCGCCATTCTACCAGATTCCGGCCATTTTCCGGTGGTGGTGGCCAGAATCTGGTAAATGTGGATTATTGGGGTGTTTTTGTAATTTAATTAAATTATCAAATTTAGGGGTTTTAAAAAAGTTGATAATTTTGGGAGTAGTATTCCAAAAATCTGGGCTCCGTTTGGTTCACAATTTTGTGTTTTTTGGGAAAAGTTTTGTGAAAAAAGTTAACAAAAAAGTTGAATTGGGCGGGTATTACGATGTAGGATTTACAAATTGTAAAATACCCCCTATGTTTGTTTTTTTACAAAACACCCCTTATAATAAAACATTAAAAGTTAACAAAAATACCCCCAATCCCCTCACAATACGGACAGCGGCCACCACGCCGAGGGGTGGCCGGAGTCGTCGTAACAAATTAAGCATACAAAAATTTAGGGGTATTTAATTGAATTAACAAATTTAGGGGGTTTAAAAAATGTTGAATAAAGTTGAATAATATTGTGAGTTTTTGGGTATTTTACTGTTTAACTTTTTTGGGAATACTAAAAGTAGTATTCCCAAAATCCAACCAAACGAAGCCCTGAATTTTTGTGTATTTTACTGTTTAATTTTTTTGGGAATACTAAAAGTACTATTCCCAAATGTGAAACAAAAGCAGCCCTTGTTTTCTTTAAGGGTCAATTTGTTTAGAGGTCTTCCCATTTAGTTGTTATTTTTTATTCATTATAAAATTACTTACTAAAAAAACTACTAAATCTAGTTTTAAATATTTATTTATGTATGGTATTAAATTGATATTATAGAATGACATTTAAAAAAATAATTATATTTGGGTTAGAATAAAACAAAAGGTCGATAATATCAATTGAATGGGGTACGTTATAAGAGATTCCACTGTGAATTAGGTAATATAGCCAATCTTATATCTATTTTGGGTATAAAGTTTGAAGTTCCAAGTTTGATGGTCTCTCTCTTAAAAAAAAATTGATTTAATTAAGCCAAATTGATTAAATGACCACAACATGTCCTGATCAATCAGGTTGTACATGACTTTAACCTATAGTTTTATATTTGATTACTAGTTACGCACAAAAATAATTCTTTTGTCTCTTATTTATTTAGAGTGTCGTAGTGAGTTATTATGAGATAATTTGTCTTAAGGATTAGTCAAGATGCATGTAAGTCAATTCGAACACCTCAATTAAAAAAAAAAAAACCATATATACGACTATTTAAATCAAGTATGAGAATTATTTACTTATATATCGGTCACATTATAGTAAAAATAAATAAAATTAATAAAATATAGATCAATTTTTTTATTTAATATTTATTAAAATGGACGGTGATTATCAATATCATGTCAGTCAAGTAGGAGGTTCCTAAAGTTAACGGGAGATATTGGTTTACTACATAGGGTGCAAAACGAAAGAATCCAAAAGTATTTGGGGAATATTTAGAATTTTAGAGAAGTTTCGTGGCACATAGAAATTAGTGCTCTATTTATGTGAGTTACGAAGTGGAGCAATCTCCATTCTTCTTGTTGGATAGAAAATCAATTTTTGTTTTTCTTCTAAAGAGAGAGACGAGAAACTGGTTCTTTGTCTTCTTGCCTGTGGTAATGCCAAACCTTGGTTAAATAAATCAGAGCCCAAGTGTCAGCTGTGCTTCATAGCCGTTTCACAACCAAGTACGCAGACAAAATAGCCATGAAAAAAATAGTAATTCTATAGAAACAACATCAACAGCTTTTTCTTTATTGTTTTTTTTTTTTTTTTCAGTGTTTTTGGTTTTTAGAGATCATTCCAATCAAAGAATTTCAGTTCAAAAATGTCTTCTGATCTTTATGTTTTTGATAGCTCCTTTTACCGCCAACATTCAAGCCCAGAAATGGCCTCTTCTGATGCTGGAGACTTTAACTTTTTCACTGAACCTTTCTCTCCTTTTTGTGATTCTTCTCTTGATATCCTTCAAGCAATCTCAAACTCAAACAATACCTCAATGATCAACCCAAATCACCCGGTTCATGAGTCTTCCTCAATTGACCAATATACACATACTCTTCTTTCTTCTTCACCGCCAAGTCACCTTCTTGAAAATCTGAGCCTTTGCCAATCCACTCATTTGCAGCCTCTTGCAAATGGGTACCAAGATTTCTCTAGTTTAGACGCCATGGAAGTCAAAAGTGAGGAGTCTTTGGTGGGTTTTGATTCTTGTTATAATCAACAACAACAATCCTTTGTCCCTCGCAGTTATAGTGGTGTTGAAAATGTAGCAAAGTATATGCAGAGGAGTTATAGTAGCAATTCTTTTGATAATAAATCTGGTTTTCTCTTTCGACCTCACTTTGATACTCTGATGGAGCCTCCAAATGTTAACAACCAAGCCTTGAGTTCACCTGAAAGTAACTTTTTCAGTGGGCAAATGAGGAGGGTTTGCAGTACTGGAGATTTACAAGTAATTTGTTTACTTGAATCCCCTGTTTGTCTCTGTTTTTAGTGAAAAAAAATTACTTTTTCTTTTGTCACTTTCATGCTAATTAAACATTTGTTTCTTTTGTATTCTCGTGGGTATTTTAGAATACAGGAACAGCACATAAACCACAGAGGTCTTTTTCAAGTCATGTAGCAACAGAGAGCCCATTCACGGAGGAAGCAAACTTCAAAGTTGGGCGTTACAGTGCTGAAGAAAGAAAAGAAAAGATTTTGAAGTACAGAGCTAAACGAAATCAAAGGAACTTCAACAAGACGATTAAGGTAGTTAATTTATTATTTGTGTAATCAAATTTTTATATTACTAATCAATAATTAAAGNGACCACTCTCTAAACCTCTCAAGGTGGTGTTAAAGTGTGGAGGTCTCATTACTTTGAGGCTAATCTTCATCAATCCAAAGCAAAGGAGTAGGTATAATCTCTTTTCCAAGCTTTGTTTTTAAAACTGTTCTCTTGAATCCATTTTTTATGCTTTCTTCTCCATTTCCACCACTCTTCATGCATGCATGCTGTTCTTTCACTAGTAACTATCTTATTCTTACCCTGAGCTATAGTCGCTATAGGTACCTCTAGCTGGTGACAAACATGACCAAAAACATGACCGAAAACACAGCACTTAGGGCACCTCTTAGGGGTCTACTCATATTCCACTGTAATCTGAATGGGCTCAGTAGATAACCTGCACTGAAATTCAAAATGACGTCTCAGAGGCTTTGCTACATCTAGCTCAACACATACCCGAGCATAATCCAAACGGGTCCGCTCTGATGTTGTCTTATCACTAGACGCCCAATTAAGCTTGAAAAGCTTTGTGGACTTCGACATTTTTAAGCCATGAAAAGATTGCAATGTCGAACCTGCAATATCATTAGATTCAAACTCAAGAAAACCAAAAAAAGAGTTTTTGTGATGAAAAACCCTGACTCCTTGAATAGCCACCGTTGAGAAAACGGATAACAAATACTTGTCATCCATCCATGGCTCCAAATCACCAATCCATAAAGATTTCCCCAAATTCCCGAAAGTTTGTGGCTGCTGGGAGCTGGTGGAGGCAACGTTTAATGTTTTGGCTTGGGTTGGGGGTGACACGGTGTTATTTGGGAGTGAGGGGTTTGGTTCGGACATTTTGTTGAACACTTGGTGGCAGGAAAAAAAGGTGTGATTTTGGTGTGTTTGAAAGTTTGAAACAGCAGGGATTTGTGAAAAAATGGTTGGGGTGAAGAGGTTTTGGTGTTGGAAAGGGCAACGTGGTCGGGAGGGCCAAAGAGGGGAAGGCTGGGCGCTGGGCACGCGTGCGCGCTAGGCGCACAAGGCCTGCAGTGGACTTTTATCGAACAGTTTTTGTACATCATAAAAGCATCTAAAACCCCACAAAATGCAACCACATTTTCCACTGCAATAATAAAAAAACAGCAAGAAACCACAAAAAAAAAAAATTGCAGAAAATCAATCCAAAAACACACTAAAATAGGTCCATAAAAATTCCAGATCTGCAGATTCCGTGAACTTTCAAGGAAAATTCCTAGGGATAGAAGCAATGAACAGAGGCAGTGATGAAATGATCAGATAGCCTATTCAATAATCTTTCCAACAGTTCGTAGATCGTTCAATTCCGACACCGGACGCGCTCCGAACAAGCCGCCAAAGTTCTGTCAGTGAGAATAAGCAGATCTGTAGATTCCGTAAAATTTCATGGCCAAATCCTGGTGAAATACATTGAAAAAGCTGGCAGTGATAAAATGACTAGAAACCTAATTCAAAACCCTTTCAAACGGTGGGTGGATCGTCTGATTCTGACACCGGACGCACCTATAACAAGCCGCCGAAGTTCCAGCAGTGAGAACGAGCAGATCTATAGATTCTATGAAATTTCAAAGCCAAATCCCGCCAAAATACACAGCAAACGCCAGCAGTGATGAAACAACCAGAAAGTTCATTCAAAACTCTTTCCAACGGTGGGTGGATCATCTGATTCCGACATCAGACGCACCCGAAACAATCCAACGAACTTCTGGCAGCCAGAATGAGTTGAGAGCAAAAACTTAGAAAAATTTCCCCCGAAACCCGAAACCCGAAACCCGAAACCCGAAAACCTGAAACCCTAACCCCAAAACTCAAAACCTAAAACCCTAAAGCCTAACCCCGAACCCTTAACCCTAAACCACGAACCCTCAACCCTAAACCTCAACCCTAAACCCCAAACCGTAAATCTGAAACCCTAAACCCTCAACCCTAGCCCCTAAACACTAAACCCAAAACCCTAACCCTAAAACCCTAAACCCTGAACCCTAAAACCCTAAACCCTAAACCCTAAACCCCTAAACCCTAAACCCTAAACCCTAAATCACATTAACATTAATATGTTAATGTGATTTTCTATTCTTTTCTTACATTAATATGTTAATGTTATAATGGTTTGTTTTCTACCTTATGTCTATCATCTTGATCATCATTTTCTCTCAATTTCCATGTCCAAAATGCATGAATCCCAACAATGGTATTAGAGCATGTTTAAATTCATGCATGCATGTAGCATTTTTG